ACCCCCCAGGAACCCCCAAGAACCCCCAGGAACCTTTAGGAATCCCCAGGAACCCCTCAGGAACCCCCAGGAACCCCCCAGGAACCCCCAGGAGCCCCGGGCCCGGCCGCGGCCCACCTGTCCTTGTACTTGATGACGGCGTCGACGATCTTGCGCATCTTGCGGGTCAGGGGGGGCGGGTTCGGGGAGAGCTTCTCGGCCGGGGGCCGGCCGCGCTTCTTCTGCTTGCGGCTCTCGTCGTCCTTGTCGCGGGCGCGGGCGCCCGGCGCCGGCCCCGCGGGGCCCTCGGGCTCGCGCTTGCGCTTGCGAGAGGACTTCTTCTGCCGCACCTCCTCCTCGATCTCCTCCAGGGTGCCCTCCTCGATGGCCTGGGGACAGCCGGGACGTGGGGATGGGGATGGAGGAGCTCCTCGGTGGAATGGGGACAGCCGGGACGTGGGGATGGGAACGGGGAACAGGGAATGGGGGAACCCCTTGATCTCCTCCTCGGTGGAATGGGGACAGCCGGGACGTGGGGATGGGAATGAGGAACGGGGGAACTCCTCGATCTCCTCCTCGGTGGAATGGGGACAGCCGGGACGTGGGGATGGGGATGGGGAATGGAGGAACTCCTCGATCTCCTCCTCGATGGCCTGGGGACAGCCGGGACGTGGGGATGGGGATGGAGGAGCTCCTCGGTGGAATGGGGACAGCCGGGACGTGGGGATGGGAACAGGGAATGGAGGAACTCCTCGATCTCCTCCTCGGTGGAATGGGGACAGCCGGGACGTGGGGATGGGAACGGGGAACAGGGGAACCCCTTGATCTCCTCCTCGGTGGAATGGGGACAGCCGGGACGTGGGGATGGGGAATGGAGGAACTCCTCGATCTCCTCCTCGGTGGAATGGGGACAGCCGGGACGTGGGGATGGGAGAACTCCTCGATCTCCTCCTCGGTGGAATGGGGACAGCCGGGACGTGGGGACGGGAATGAGGAACAGGGGAACTCCTCGATCTCCTCCTCGGTGGAATGGGGACAGCCGGGACGTGGGGACGGGAACGGGGAACGGGGGAACTCCTCGGTGGAATGGGGACAGCCGAGACGTGGGGATGGGAACAGGGAATGGAGGAACTCCTCGATCTCCTCCTCGGTGGAATGGGGACAGCCGGGACGTGGGAACGGGGAATGGAGGAACTCCTCGATCTCCTCCAGGGTGCCCTCCTCGATGGCCTGGGGACAGCCGGGACGTGGGGATGGGGGAACTCCTCGGTGGAACGGGGACAGCCGGGACGTGGGGATGGAAACGGGGAACAGGGAATGGAGGAACTCCTCGATCTCCTCCTCGGTGGAATGGGGACAGCCGGGACGTGGGGATGGGAATGAGGAACAGGGGAACTCCTCGGTGGAATGGGGACAGCCAGGACGTGGGAACGGGGAACGGGGAATGGGGGAACTCCTCGATCTCCTCCTTGGTGGCCTGGGGACAGCCGGGACGTGGGGACGGGAATGGGGAATGG